GGTCAGGGGGACCCCGATTTTGAGGCAGCTCCTAAGGCCTCTTAGCACAACAAAGCACCACACTTTAAGGTATTTTTTCTGAGTCTCAAACGGAGCATACAGCTAATCCTTTGAAGGGCAGTATTTGGAGAGACCACGTCACTTCTCACTGCCATCGAACGGAAATCAGTAACCAATGCACATGTCAGAGAGGCTGGGAAGTGTAGTCTCTAGGTGCGTGTACACATGCTCAGGTAAAACTCGATCACCATGTTGAAAACTCATTGCTGCAGAAATCCCTTCCTCTCATCGGGACTCCTGCTATGTGCCTAATAAGCGGCCCTGTCCGAAGAGGGCTTCCAGGACCAACCACCAATGACAGCATGCTGGTCACTCTCTGGCCCTCACTGTGCTTTATTTTTCCTCCTAGTATTTATCACTGCTTGTCAGTACACTTTATTTTTATTTATCATCTGCACCTACTCCACAGTTCAGAAAAACAGATACTTTGTCTCTTGTTCACTGCTATATACCTGGTATCCGATATTCACTAATATGTGTTGTTTGAATGGGTGACAAATAAGCAATGTTCTAACTTGTTTCCCTCCCTGTGGTGTGGTGGTGGGGGGACCCCAGGTATAAAAGAGTTTGTTTAACTTAGCCAGTACCAGAATCCATCTTAGGAAAGGAAGAAACTATCTCATGATATAAATCTTCTTGGGGACTGAATAAAACCTAACATCTACTATTTCAGTAAAATTTCACTTCATGAACCAGAAAGTGGAGTTAAGAAGAAAAAGGAAGACAAAAACCTGAGCAGGAATCTGACATTTCATTCACATCTACTATAAGGACAAGTGGATTGTGTGACCCTTAAAAAGGAGTTGGGGTTTGCAACTGGGCAGACACGGGAAAGTACAGAAATGGCAGATGAGGAAACGTGTACCCAACAACAGAAGAGCATGGAAAACACAAGTCCTGCTAAAGCTCCAATATGCTAGGAGTTTCCTAGGTAGCAGCTCGTGTGTTGCAAGCAGAATTTACCTTGTGTGTGAACACCATATATGACCGATTAATGCCTTAGCACTCAGCTATACAGGAGTTCCTAGTACACTGCTCCACAGACATCACGAATCAACTACTGCAGGGACTTGCGCTGGAAGAGACTAGAATTACAGTCTCGCGTGATTTTCTTCACGAATATTTCTTGTGAGAGTGAGCACTGTTCTTTCTCATTGCCTCAAAAGGGGAAAAAGACAGCAACTTTAGGCTTTCTGCACCCCTCCCCATCTGCACCCACTGCCAGGCACGGGGAATATGGGGTTCAGCGTGATCTCTGGGTAAGGTCAGATGACCCTTCCCTCTGCCTACTTCTCTGCCTAATCCATTTTACCTTAGCAGTGTGCTTTTAACCTGCCACCTCTGGTATTAAGCCCAGGGTTAAATTTTATTAAGGTAAGAGCAGTAACACAAAAGTAAAAGTTGTCTTAGGAGTCAAATTTTGGGAAGGATAGTGAGCATAAAAAGTGTTAGAGGGGTTCTGGGAACAAATCTATATACTGTCAATGATAATTCTTAAAGAGTGGCATTTTCATGGCAAATTACATGTTCCCAGATACCTGCTGCAGAGCGTAAACCACCCCAAACAATTGGATGTGTCCTCATATTCTTTGTCTGTCTGCTCTGCGGTTAAAATACACAACCTTAGGACTCCTTCTTACTCAACCCAGTCTTCCAAAGGCTTGTGGAAACAGGAACAGCAGCCCAAAGGAAAACACATATGGAACAGCTAGCTTGGCTTTTCTGCTTCTTTAGTTGCTGGGAACAAGGATTTCCTTCTCTGCAGGCTCATCATTCCAGGATTCCTATCACTGTCATGGTAGAAAGACCACGAATGCCAGGATTACTGAGTGGGCCACTGAACCACTTCTGGTTTAAGGATCACGGTGAAGAGTTAAGTCTCTGTGGTTCACAACAGGAAACCACACAGATCTTTGGATCAAGGCCCCAGCCAGTCATAAAGCGGACGATGTCTTCGTCAAGTGACCTCAGCTTACAGGATTTAATATCAGAAGCAGCAATGGGTGGCTGGTGGCCAGCTAAAGAATTAAAGCGTGCTGCCCTTTGTGTTCACTTCACAGTCTATTTCTTAGTTCCAATCTTCTACAGGACAGGAGGCCCCGTTACATTGCTCCTTGGAGTTCCCATGATTATAAGGTTGTTCAACTAAACAAGGTGCAGCACAACATCAAACTATTCTCTAATGAGTCATTCACTTCTACATATAATTTCCAAAGGACATACTCTAAATCCACAAAAATGATTACCTCCAATGATGAGGAAAAGGGAACGGAGTGGAAATGACAATCAAAAGGGCCTTAGCTTTCTTTCTAATAGCCCTCTATGGTAGGTTATTTCCAAAAGTGGCTACACAGTGGCCCCCATGCTGTTTTGACATTGCTGCCCTTCTCATAAATTTGTGGCATCTCATCCCCAACTCCTTGAATCTGAGCTTGGCCTGTGGCCTCCTTGGACCATAGAATGTGGTGGAAGGGAGAACCAAAGATTCCCGCAGCTAACCTAAGAGCTCCTGCTTCCATCCCCTCAGAATCCTGGTGCATATATGAAGATTTCCCTACTAGAAAGATCAGGTGGAGAGTTACTGAAGGGTCAGCCCAGCAGAGGAGCCGGACCTGAATGAGGCCATGCTGGGCCCCCTTTCCAGACTACAGCGGAATGAACCTGCTGAGTGGAGATAACCCAACCAGCCAAGCCCTGCCACACCAATCTCAGAAACCTGAGTAAGGAAAACCATTGTTGCTGAAGCCACAGAGCTGTAGGCTAATTTGTTATACAATAATTTGTTTAGTGTGCTATTTGTGCTACTCAAGACCAGTTTTAAAAAAATAAACTCGTAAACAAGCCTTTCTTCGCAATTGGTGAGCATTTGTCCTTTCTCCACCTCACACCCCATGTCTCTAATGTCTAATGTCGCTAATGTCTGTAATCATCTAACTGATGATACAATATCCAACAAGGCCATGCAAAATCAGTGCAAATCAACGCAAAATTGGGGCAAGTGATTAGAATGTGAAATGGCAAATCTTGCGATGTATGTAGGAAACCATGACATTGATGAAGGTAATGCTGGAGAAGCCCTTGAATCACAGAACAACTCCTCCAACAAATGAGACGCTGCGGCTGGAACGGTTAACAATCTGAAGAACGGATCTACACGGAGGAGGGCACAGTAAGTGCTGCTAAGGGGCAAGATGTGAATGTCAAAGCGTAAGAGAGGCTCTTAGAAAACTGATGAAGCCCTCAAATATTTTTGAAATAATGACACTTTCTATGATTTGCACATAGAAATCAAATATAAAAGGACATGATATCATGATACCGTGCAGTTTTGTTAGAAAATTATAGTTCTCCAAATCCACACTTGATTCATCTTCTGTTCTAATATTTAACACATCACTGACCAACTAAAGGTTAAATGTAAGGCAAATTAACTCTAATAATTCTTTTACTTTTAAAAAAAATAGAGTCCCAACCAAGTCTTTTTTATGGTTGCTTTTTGGTCTCTATTTTTAAAGAATAAACTTTAAGTGGATTTGGCAGTGCCAGTTACCTGAGGAAATCAAGGGCCTCTATAAATGCCTCTGATTTATCTTCCTAACTAGCAAGGATACCCATTAAAGGCAGGGTCTTGGCTCACGATTTGTGAAAATCCTCTCCATCCTGCATATAGCAGAGGGTGGGAATTCAATAAATGTGCCTGCAAAGGACCTGTTGATTGATGACCTTTCATAGAGATGTTGCCACTGAAGAATGACACTGCCCTGTTATCAATCTTTGATCTGGAATGAGCTGGCATTCTCTCTTCTCAAAACTGGTCATAGAAGGCCTGTTACAAACTTCCTGCTGAAAATACTCTCCAAGGCTGGATACATTTAAACCCAATCCAAGCAGGGAAAAATAAGTCCCACACTCCAGGGGCTCGGATAACAGGGGCCACATCTGAGAACAAGAGCAGGACTCTGGAAGTTGTCAAACCCAGAAGCACCAGCAGTCGGCCACACTTCCAGGTGTGCGTCAATGAACACCACGCAAGAAGAGGCATCTGAGAAAATCTCTCAGTGTGGATTCAAAATGAGTTAAAACAAATCAGCGTGTAGTGGTAGACGTGGCAGTGTCTTAACTCAACATCAGTACAAGACAGGGTGTCCCCTTTCAATCTTTATTCTCATAAAAATAAATCCCAAAAAGCCTATAGTTAAAATAAATGGTCATTCAAAAATGTTCCATCTTTAAATGTTCAGGTGGGGAGGGGAATGCGGGGGGAGGAAGGTTAAAGAAGAATAGAATAGATGGGGTAAAAAAATGGAAACAAAACTTTTGTAAATAAGGAGGGGAGGAGGGGCTGAAGGGAAGGGAGGGGACTGGGAAAAAGGAAAAATCAAGATGCGTTATGTACAGGTTCAAAGTCCCTATGATGAATGTGATCACTACTTATATCTGAAGCATACCAATAAAATTAATTTAAAAAATTAAAAATATCGTGTATTAAACAAATGCTCCACCTTTTACACGGAAACAGTGCATAACATTACTTATTTAACATCCCTGAAGTTCAATCTCTTTCAACTTACTCCACATCCCCTCTGCATGAGTAATAGGGTAGCAAGGAGAAATGGGCTGTTTCCTTGTCTCTCTCAGGAGCTGCTTTGCCTTCTCTGCAAATGGGAAACTAACGCTACAACCCGGGCTGCGGGAGCCCTTCACCCCTGTCCCTCCCAGGAGAGCACGGGGTGTTCTGCAACGTATCAGTCCGTCCCGGGGCAAATGCAAACAATGCTTTCCGTTACAATAACTTGTATCCAGGAAACACACACACACACATACACACACACACACACACACACACACACACACACACACACACACACACACACACACACAGGCTCTGTAGCGTAGCAGCCAGAGAAAAGTTTACTGGTTTGAGCCAATTGCAGCCTGTGGAGCTGGGCCAAGTTAGCATGTTTTTCTCCTCCTCTGGATGAAGTCATGATTGAAATATGGCATTGAACTTATTTTAAAAGGGAAGGGGAGTCGGAAAGGCCTGTAACCCTGCAGCAGGGGGCTCGGTGCCGTGGGGAACGCGGCTAGCAAGTGTGTGCCGGCTGTGAGCCCTGAGTGACCTTCGCCTCTCTCTGGGTGGGGCAGGGCCTTTAAGAGCTGTTGGAACGCAGCTTCCCTGATCAGCTCAGCCAGTTGTTGCCGGTCTGAGCTTCTGCCAGTCCCGGGAGCAGCGCTTGGACCTCAACCTGTAGGCCTCCTTCTTCACCGTCTCCTCTGCTCCCCCGGCTGTGTCCACCTGCGCAGCCATGGGAGAGGACGCTGCCCAGGCCGAAAGGTTCCAGCCCGCGAGCTCTGCCATACGCCAGGAGAAGCCCTCGAGTCCCAGTCCAGTGCCCTCCTCCACGCCGAGCCCGAGCCTGAACCTGGGGTGCACGGACGAGGCCCTCCGGGACAACTCGCAGGTGAACGCCGTCACAGTGCACACGCTGCTGGACAAGCTGGTGACCATGCTGGACGCCGTGCAAGAGAACCAGCACAGGATGGAGCGGCGGCAGATCAGCCTGGAGGGCTCGGTGAAGGGGATCCAGGGAGACCTGGCCCTGCTCTCCAAGCACCAGGCCTCCACCAGCAGCACGGTGGGCAAGCTGCTGGAGAAGTCACGCAAGGTGAGCGCGCACACGCGAGCCGTCCGCGAGCGCATGGAGCGGCAGAGCGCGCAGGTGAGGAGGCTGGAGAGCAACCACGCCCAGCTCCTGCGACGAAACCACTTCAAAGTGCTCATCTTCCAGGTCAGTGCCCCTGCCTCCCCACACTCCCGCCTGTACCCGGCTTCCCGTCCGTCCTGCCCATCAGGGACGCGCACACTCTAGGCACTACCCTTCCTGCCTGCGGCCGGCGAACGTGAAATCTACACACAGCTGTGTGGATAGCCTGGCCACCACCTCCTGGGCCGAGGCAGGTGCCCGGGAGCGAGTAGACCTGGGTCCTTTCCCAGCAAGCACCTGCAGACACTGCGAGCAGGCTGCAGGATGTGCGGGGCAGGTCCCCACCCGAGTGAAGGGCATAGCCTCTTTGCATTAGGAACTAGCTGGACAGGGCAGCAAATGAATCCAGTGCCTTTTTATTAACTCTTTGCGGAAATGAGATAATCATAGGAGCTTTCTGTTTTGTCTTAACCAAGAAGTCAGACTCCTAACTGTTTCAACTGTGCCTTTTCCCAAAGGCCACTGACGTTTGGGGACCAGCCAAATGGAGGATTGATTCCATTAGGGTTGAATTAGCCCTGTTCTTTAAGACTATTTGGAGCAAAGCAGCCTTCCTGAGTTCTTTTCTAGCAACTGATGCACTAAAAATGCAGAGCATATCTCTTTGCAAATATACTAGATATGAGCAACTATCATTGCTCAGAGAGACCACAACTGTAAAGGAAAATCAAAGGAGTGCTATCAGTTACAGTCACAAAGGCTGGTCTTGAATGCTTTCTCCTTCAAAAGGTTGCTTCAGAATAAAAGGGCCACTTAATTTTTTTAATGCACCAATGATGCAATTAATGTAGCGAGAGGCTATTTGGGGACAGGGAGGCTGCATAGGGCTGTTGTTCCACCAAGTGATGGGCATTTGTGATTCCAGGGGCGGCCCTGCCTGATGCTGGGAGCCCTTCCGCCCAGAGGAACCCAGCCAGCCCAGCGCCCAGGAAGCACTGCCATCCTGCCGCAGGGCTGACTCCTTGGGGCCCTGTGAATAGGGGAGGATTTCAGAGCCATGGAGGGGAGAGGCTATAACCAAATGTTTGATTGTGAAAGGCACACAGGGCAGGCTTTCATCTCCCAAGAGAGACTCAGAGATCAGGATTGAAATCCAGGGAGCCTTCTTTTTCTAAACGGAGCCACTTTGCCAACTTGGAAGCTGAGCCTTCCTAGCCCCATAAAAGGAGACTCTTCACGCTACTTTCCTGTCCTCCCCACATTGCACTTGAGTGCTAGAAAGGTTTGGGCAGCCAGTGTTCTCCTATACATTGCAGGCTTTGGCATCCAGGAAACTAGTTAGCCTTTAATGCAAATGCAGTAGCTTTTCCTGCACCAGATGCACTCCAGACAGATACAGGGAAGCCATGTGAGATCCTTACTTTATTAGCCTAAAAGATATTAGAAATCCTAGCTCTCAAGCCATTTCTCAATTAAATAATGATCTCCAAACAAAGCCAAACATGCACAGAACTTTTTAAATCTGAGTTGCCAAAGGAAATTTCCCTCCTTTCAGTATGAATTAGAGAGATTATCATCCTTCAGTTTAGGAGAGAGAAAAAAGCACTTATCTAGTCAAGGAAAATCGCAGTTTGTCAGGATTGGGTTTCGTTTTGTTTTGCCATGGATGCTCTGTAGATAGACGTAGGGAGAGAGACGAGGAGGAAGTGTGACAAGAAGCTCCAGAGAACTGTAAATCTGACATTTAAAAAAAAAAAAAACAACTATTGGGTAACCTGAAGGCAGGTGCTGTTGTGGAGGGTCTCACATGGTCACCTGTTTCATCACATTGGATTGACAGGTGTGAAATTGCAGCCAGAAATGGTGGCAATTCTCCCCACAGAGAGAAAAAGCTGAACCAATCCTCAAATCCAAGGAAAGCTAAGCGAATCCCAAGTAAAATGTTCAGTCTGCATCCGGGGCCCTCACTGTCAGCCCCAGGGACACCTGGAAAAATCAAGAAAGTAGGGAACTAGAAGCAAAGTCCCTGGGTCATTCTTAACTCATAGAAGACCCCTCACTCTCTGAAGGATATTAGACATCTCAGCTTTCAGGGACTCACAGGATAATTGTTTACAAAAACAAATGCAAGCAGATTCCTCAGTAGAAAAGTTGTGATTTCTCTTCTTTCTCACAGTAGGGGTTTCAGTATGCCCTCGGATGCAACGCTAAGTTCTGTTAGATGCGATGTGTGCACCATAATGGTTATAGAGATAGATAAGGGTTGGAGTCACGCAGGTACTGGTTCAAATCCTAGGTTCATCATTTGCCAACAGTGTGACCTGGACACATTTTGTAGCTTGTTCAACATGTTTCCTCATCTATACACTGAAGATATTAAGAGCAAACAATTGAGCACTTAAGCCCTACATGCATTGTTAAGCATCTTTCTGTACATTAACTCCTATGTCCCCAATTTATAGACGAGGGTGCTACAATTCAGATGTTTATCTCTTGCCTGCCTGAACTTATTTAGTCATCTTAAGTGGTGAAGCAGGGGTTCATGTTTAACTAATCTCTGAGCATGTGAGAAAATGCCAGGGCTCCCTTCCTCACCTCTCAAGTATTGGGAGGGAACACAGGAAATAATGTATTTACATAGCACAGGCTGGCATAAGTGTCCGAACAACAGAAGCTAGACCTGAAAGTCCCTTGCTCAGAGAGGGGGCTACATTTTTACAGCGGTGCCTCGGTTCACAAACGTAACTCTTTCCATGATTCTGGTCGTAAACCAAATTAGACAAGAACCAGGTCAAATTTCCCCATAAGGTCAACATTGAACCTAGCTATTGAATTTAATTTGGCTCATGGAAAGAATAAGAATATGGTGCTTGGGTCAAAACTGACCCACCCCTCCAGGATCTTAAAACAGCAAAGCTTGTGCCTTTTTTGTCAGAACTTATTAGGCAGACTGCCATCATGCAGCCCATGTGTGCTATCATGTCAAAATCAGTATTAACGTCTCATCTCCACCAAAGGAAAGGACTCTGCTCCAAAGACTGGCCCCAAGCCGACCCTTTCCCGTAGCATCACAGCCTTCACCTTGCAACAGAAGCCACTGTCCTAGAGCTACAGGGCCTGGGAGGGCAGAGAAGCAGGGAACCCTTTACACCTTTAACAGTCATTTCCACCCTACTTGTATTTAGTGAGGGGGGTGGGGTACCAGGGATTCAACTCAGTCAGAGACCTTGTGCTTGTGAAGCAGATGGTGGAACCACTGAGCTAAATCCCCGGCCCACCCTACTTGCATTCTGTGCTGGGATTCCCCTTACTAAAATCCACTGATTTTCTATTTTAAGACCAGAAAAGTACATGAAAATAAGAGAAAAAAGAAAAGCATACTTAATACTGTAGCACTGAGAAAATTACAGTTCCATTTTGTGAAGTCCTGTCGCACCCTCTAAAATCTACGGGGGGGGTGCTGATTGGTTGACTAGTTACATATTTCCTTTTTTTATTCCAAAATGGAGTTTGTAATTTGTTTCTTAATTTGTCCTACTTGAAACATGTCATGTGTTTATTTATTGAAATCTGTGCTGAACTTTACAACATTGCTGTAACTGTTAAGCATCTCATTCCTTAGCTATTACCTCAGATTATAACCAGTAGCATCTAAAACCAGGGAAACATTCATATCCCTTTCAACAATTAAATAAATTTTTTGAGTCCTAGTTATACTCGCTAGCTCACTGTTTTAATTGTTTTGGTAACAGCTTCAAATCCATGTTTGAATTCAAAATCCTGAGATGTGACCCAGTATAAGTGAAGTAAGACTCGTAGATAGTGCTTTTCAAAAAGCAAATGCTCAAGAAAGATAAGCAGCACTAATACTTTGCCTGTGAGCATAGCTATCTTTTACCAAAAAAAAAAAAAAATGGAATTTATAGAGAATGTCAGTGAATTTACAGCTAAGAGGAGGTTTTTCTGCAATGGTTGAAGGTTGAAGAACTTCAGATTTCCCAGGGAGCTGGCCTGGAAGATGTGGTGTCCACTTCTGTCCTCTTAAGGTTCTAGTAATGAATATTTGAAAAAGCAGTCTGGGAATAATTTCAAATTCAGAGACCAAAATGATAGTCCTCATGGACTGTTTACACTTTCCTGCCCATAAAAATTATGAAATTGGGCAAAAAAGTAAAAAGTTTAGATATTTACAGTGGGTACATCTTGGGGAAGTGGGCCCATAAATATGTTCAAATATTCATCATTTGGGTTCCTTCCATGAAATCAGAATTTTAGAAAAGTGCTAAAAGTGTAATCTCCTTGGACTATTTTAAAATTGATCTTTAAAAGACTGTTCCCTTTTCAAAGCCACTACTTCAAAAACCATGAAATTAGTACAGGCTTGAAAAAAAATGGAGATGTGGATGATCATATTTGTATTGCATTGACCAACATCGCCACGACGGGATATCCATCTTCCTGTGTTACTTACCCAGTGCCCTTTCAGCTTATCAGATAAACAAAAATACGAGCTCTCATTGTTACTATTTACACTTACTGAATGTGAGCACTGCCTCCAGACACTTGAAGCAAATAAATGATTACTGTTGATATTTCTTTGAAAAAATCATTACATTCTCTCATATATTTAAAAAGAAAAGCCTACATCCTTTGTCAGATACAGCCCTCCCAAGAAAATGTTTCCCCTTGCATTATTTTGCATCTAACTGTTTGAATTCAGTGAATGAAAAATGTTCTTCAATGCAGCTCGGGCTCTATAGTTTTGATTCTTGAATGAAAGAAAACACATTTAACCTGAGTTCCTTGTGGGAACATTGCTGCAGCTTCTCATTCTTTTTTGTAGAGTTTAGGTTACTATCGCACAATCAAATATTTTAGAGGTGGAAAGCACCTTAATAATCATTTTGTTCAATTTTATTTTATATCAAAGAGGCAGAAGCCCTGAAAAACCAAGGGACAGCAAGGTTTCACTTTATTAATAATAGAAATTATGGAATAGAATTGTGAAATGAGTAAAAACAAACACTATCATCCCACTGAGGTAAAGTTCATGTTTCCTGGGTTTTCTGTATCACATGTTAAATAATTCAGTGTGATTTGGTTTTTGTTTTGTGTTGTGTTTTCTGTGTATAACAAAGAACACCTAACCAGTGTGATCTTAAAAAAAAAAATTGAACCCTTGATAACACTGAAAAGTAATGAAACTTTTAAATCTTGCAGAATGTGAAAGACTGCTCCGGGATCATAACTAACGCATTTTATTCTTATGACTTGCTGATTTCACCAACAGCTGCCCAGGGGTGCAGTGCTAATCAATGGCCTTATCCGCCTGGCAATGTGCACCTCAGAAATACAAACAGGAGAAAACCATCAGTGTGTACAGGAGACCCATAGAACGGAAAGTCGGTAGGCATGGTTCCATTTTAATAACTAGTATTTAGAGGTTTTGGTATAAAATGTCCCACAGACACCCGTTTATGGTTTTCATATCCCTCCAAGGTGCCCCCACGTCCCGCAGGAACAGGACGTCCTTTGTTGTTTTTGCCTAAAGACAAGAATGATACATTAGTGGAAGGACAACAAAATGCTGGCTTCCCTCTCCTTATCCTACCAAGCATGTGAGTGACTTACAGTTGATTTCCTTTCCTACCGCTAGTCATGGAGTCTCTTTGTAACGAGTGTGCAGAGAAGATTCGAGTCCGTAAGAAGGGCCTGGCATGCTGGCACTTTTGTTTCTCTGCACTGATATTTCCACGCATGCCAGGGACCGTTAGTTCGCGAGAGTCAGAATAAACAGCAAACAAGCTGGGATGCAGGGAAAAATACTGCTGCTGCCGAGTTCTCTTCATTCCTCTTTCATGCAGCAGCATATGCATCATATATGTTTGGAGTTACGGTGTTTAATTCTTCCCTCCTTTGCAAACCTCCTAAGGGCCCTTGTGAAAGGTCAGAACCAGGAACACCTATAGCAGTGGAGGCCAAGGACCTTTCTGAAACAGTGACAAATAACCAGCCACTCTTAGGGTCTTCTACTAGGTAGAACTGCCCAAGGAAACAGTGCGGCCAACAGGGACTCCCAGTGGCATTTAAGGAGCCACCAACCCTCAGTAGATAAATGCATAAGGAGCGGGGTTAGCAGGGGCAGAGGTAAGGATGTATACTCAGTCCTTCCCCTTGTGAGAGCTGTCAGTCCTGCAGTCTCTAAGACCGAGCAGAGCATGAAGACAGGACACCTCCCCTGTAGGTGTAAAATATCAAGGAGTGTATATAAGAGAGAGGCTGCATACCAAGGCAGACATGCAGGGGAGACTGGGCTCCACGAGGAGAGTGTCCATTATCCGGGTGTGACCACCATGACACCTCTTTGTATTCAGACACCATGCACAGGTCTTGGAACAGAGATCTTGGAGAGCGTCTGTGTGTTTCTGTCTCTAAACAAAAGCTATGGAAAGGTAAAACCTCCCTGTGCTTAGACAGTGGCATGTGCCCTTGTGGAAAGAAAGGGCTGAGTGGAAGCCACAAAAAAGCGTAACATAAGAACTGTGGGGCAGACAGGACAGGAAATACTGCTTGGGCAGTGAAGATGACAGCAGAAGTTGGCCAGGAAGACAGACCTCACTGGCTTCCAGTTGTGTGCAGACACAGCACTCGTTCTGGATTCTCGCGGGTGAGGATGGGTCCATTTCCATGGTTGGCACCCAGGACTCTCGTACAGATGTCCCGGGGGTTTCCACCTCCCTTCCACAGCTCCCTGCCCTCACCTGCAGCCCTACTCACCACTGACGATGTCTGACCGCTGTCCTTACAGCGGTCCTCTAAGGCTTATGTGTAAGAGAGGTGAGAGTGCCTTAGACTCAGCAGCAGCTACACTTTGGTAATAATACAATTCACCAATAGGGAAAGCTGAAATATCAGCAGTTAATCCTAAAAGTGCAGTTAATAGACTTACCTTTTGTGAGGGTTGAAGAAGGGGAAATTATCAAAGTTTTTACTTTTGATTACCGTGAGAGCTACACTTTACAAAATATACCTCTTCTCTGGTAACCAGCCTTTTTTTTTTTTTTTTTTTTTTTTTTTCACATTTTCTGCCGGAATTTCTGCTTTCCTTGTTGAGACCTTTTCATAACATTTCACTGCACTTTTAGTTTCTTCTTTTCCTTCAAGTAACATCTGTCAAACCTTCCTGATCCTCTTATCAAACCCCAGAAGGAAGTTGCTTCTGGACCAAGCCTTGGTGCCAGTTGCAGAATGCAGCCTTTTTAGTAATATGAATCTGTGGAGAATGAAATCCTTCCTCTAGAAAGGAAATCACTGCCCTCCTAGGCCTTAGTTCCCCCAACTTCCCAGGGGCGTGAGCATTCAGCAAACTTCCTTCTAGATTAGAACCCAGCCCGGTCTTTTGTAGCCCTCAAGCCTTCCTGGCAGAGGAGCAGTCTCTCTTCCAGCCTCTCTGGAGCTGCTTAGAAGTCCACTGCGCCCAGCAAGTGCTCCTTTCACAGGCTGCTGTTGAGCTGCAGATGTTAAGACTCAGTGGAGAGCAAGAGACAGAAACACCCACCCTCACGGGGCTTCCATTCGAGGGAAACACCAGTGGTCTCAGCTTGAAGCAGGAGCAAGCTGCTCTGTGCCAGGTCCCCTCATGAATGACTCCTGGTCACCACGTGCTCTTTTCACTGTTTTGCTTTGTCCTTTATACTGGGTTCCTAACCCTGTCCGTGACATTCAGAATGGGTGAGGGGTGTGCAGAGTACGTAATAACCAACCACTCTGATGACAGCTCACTTGGCCAGGACCTTGTTTTCACCTCTGCCCAAGACTTTCTCCTTTTTTGCTCACAGATTCACAGAAAAGATTCAATACTCGTGTGGGTATGAAGGGGTGACAGAGGCTGTCTTCCTTTAGAGCACCATGGTAGTGGCATTCAGTGGTTAAGGAGAAGGATTTTAAAGATAACTCTATCCACTCAAAACTTTGTTCATTTAGACTTTGAGTCAAGAAATTATAAACACAGTCACCCTCTTGCAGCACACTTTGTATTATAACCCAGTCTTATGACTTTTCGTCGGTTGATCAAAATTGCACAGTGAGGCGGGAGTTCTCACCATTAACATGAGCTCTGCATGCAGTTTAGACCCCAAATGGACTTTTCAGTCCACTAAGCCTGGTTACTTTTCAAACTGAAAGTATCCTGGGCAGCCCAAGCTGTGCCTGAGTCACCTTCAGGCTGTGGGGGCAGGGTGGTCAGCCGTGTGGTGTCGGGGAGCAGGGCCCCCTCTGACGAGTGTGCGGAGGAGCCCTGCTGTCCCTGGAGTGCAGTTGGAAAAGCTGCTAATCCAGGTCAAACCCTCCAGTTCCGATCTGGAGGCAACTGAGACCCATGGAGAACAAGTTACTTGCTGGAGCTGCCTGGCCATTAAGGCGCAGGCGTCCTGCACACAGCGGCCCGCGCTTCCTTCCAGGGCCGGTGGGCTGACTCGCTGGCTGTTTACGCTGTGTGCCGGGTCTGTCCTGATACAGATCTCCGCATGGGGCCCTGCTTCGGGGCCGTCCCCTTCCGCGTGGTTTGGAGGCAAGTTCTGCCCCTGAGGGGGGCAGTTTCCTGAGCTTCCCATTCTGCAGGGGTAGCTGGGGCCCAAGCGTCTGTCCCTAGAGAACCTCTGTTGAACAATAGAGACTTCCGACCCGACCGTGCTGCTGGCATCTTCCCTCTCGCTACTCTAGAAGTGACCCTGATCTCTCACCCCCTTGTTAACGCCCACTAAGGATATCCTACATGTCAAGGCTGGTGAGCAGCCCCAGGAAGCCAAGCCCTTGCTGCTGCTACTGCTGCTGCTGCAGCTCCCCCCACCCAAATGTCATCAGCAAACTGTGAGTGGCCTCCCAGCCCAGCTCAGAGAGAGCTCAGACCTCTCCTTGACATGGAGTTGGGGAGGGAGCCCAACCCGGGCTTTCTCTGTGCCCGGCTCGAAGACTTCTCAGTCTTCCCTTCCATCTTCCAACTTGACCTTCCCACTGGACCTCAGCGAGATGGGGCAGGATCTGCACCCTCTGGGCTGGGAGCACAGGAAGCACAGGGCCCCTGGGTTCACAGGAGCCGGACTTACTTTAGCTCGTTTATCTGTGGCTTCCTGGTCAGAGCCACAGCCCACTTCCCCTGCCTGTCACTGATAGGCCAGCTGCCCCCCGCACAGTCCCAACAGGCAGGCCTGGCCTTGGTCAGCCTCCAGAGACAGCCTGGCCCGATTTAGAGTGGATACTTCCCATCTAGAAAACCAAAGCCACAAGAGCCAGCAGCAGTCCGGGCCTGTTAGGGAGACGTGCCATTAACACGAACCCTGCGTGCCATCTTTGCAGGAAGAACAAGAGATCCCCGCCAGTGTGTTTGTGAAGGAGCCGGTCCCTGCCGCCGTGGACAGCGAGCGCCCGTCGCTGGAGGAGACGCTGCACTCGGTGGACCTCTCCTCGGAGGACGAGCCAGCCGGCGAGGAGGAGGCCCTGGAGGACAGCGGTGAGGAAAAGGTGGGGGAGAGCAGGGCAGAGAAGCTCAAAAGATCCAGCCTGCGGAAGGTCGACAGCCTCAAGAAAGCTTTTTCTCGCCAGAACATCGAGAAGAAGATGACCCAGCTGGGGACCAAGATCGTCTCCGTGGAAAGGAGGGAGAAGATTAAGAAATCACTCACCTCCAACCACCAGAAGACGCCCTCGGGCGGGAAAGGTTCTCCCTTCAAGGTTTCTCCCCTCGCTTTCAGGAGGAAGGAAGTGCAAGGCGGGGAGAGCCCGGCGGAGAACGAGGCCAGGTCGGAGGACACCGGGTCCCAGGGGCCGGAGGAGGGCTCCCTGGCCGAGGCGGCGGCGGACAGCAGCGCAGACCTGACCATCAC